CCACGGAAGAGCAGGTAGAGGTAGCTGTGGAAGAGAAGGCCGTGGCAGAAGCCACAGAAGAGAAGCTAAACAAGTCAAAAGAGGCATTGGCCTCAAAAGAAACGCGGTTGGCAGCTGGAAATGCCACTACACCTGCAGAGGGCAAAGAGCCAGCTAATGAAATGCAAACGGAAGAAAAAGTTGAAGTAGCTGTTAAGGTAGAAAAAGAGAGAGATGACCTGATGGAAGAGGGAGATGGTGCTAAGGTAGAAAAAGAAGAGGAGAAAGATGACCTGATGGAAGAGGGTGAAGGTAACAGGGATAGGAGAAGTACTTGTGGGTGGATTACTTGATGGATTTGACTTGCTAACCAGGGGTAAAAGTTACTTTTCCATTCAGAATTTTCTGTTTGCCAAAGACTAATGGAAGGTCTCAAACAAGGGGCACTTGGGTATAAAATCCTCCAAGTAACTGGCTTCAGTTAAGTTTCAAGGAGCAATGAATAGTTTTAGTTTCCGTCTAATGCTTAACTAACTGCAAAGCAAAATCTTTATGTGGATATCATTTTGGGGGCTGTGGCTAGCTTCAGTGGTAATGTTTGGAAAGCAATAACTAGGCTGGTAGAGAATACTGAATGGATGTCCACTTGCATGTATCTGGGTTTATTGCACTAACCTTCAAATAATTTGAACCACAAGTTGCCTCTGGTCCTAATCTCCAATTCTAGACCATGGGGCAGTAAAGTAGAATCCACTGAATTGATACATAAAATAGAAATCTCCTTGTTATGAGAATTGGAACTCTTCTGTGGAATCTCGGTGACTGAAGAATGAACTTCGTTGTGAAACTTAAATTTAATATCTGATAGGCTTTAAAATTCCATTGTAAATAGGTGCTAGCTAGTACAAGCTTCTTCCTATGTAGCTTTTCATGTCGTTCTGCTTCCCTGCTTCATTTAGCTGCTTAACTATTCTAACAAACCAGAAAACAAACTCCATGTGCTTTCCAAAATAACATACACTTACACTTTAAGAGGCTATAAATCATCACATGGTATTTTGATATTCTGACAATCAGAATGACTGCATGCTTGTGCCAGTTGAGCTATTCGCAGCCTCATTTAATAGTGACCGAATATCCATGCAGTTCCTTAATTTCCTTAGCAGTCTCTGGACAATATTAAAGGCATCTCCCATGTTGAACATCAGTGGAACTGTCTGTACCAATCACAAAGGATGTAATGTAGCTACACTGTAAAGCAGTGGCTCTCAACCCTTCCAGACTATTGTACGCCTTTCTGCAGTCTGATCTGAATATAAATATACTTACATTTCAATGTATAGTATATAGAGCAGTATAAACAAGTCATAGTCTGTATGCAATTTTAGTTTGTACTGACTTCGCTAATGCTTTTTATGTTGCCTGTCGTAAAACTAGGCAAATACCAAGATGAGTTGATGTACCCCTTGACCTCTAGATAACCCCAGGGGTATGCATACTCCTGGTCGAGAACCACTGCTGTAAAGTATCTTCAGTTACCATATATTGTGCAGATAGACCCTTGTATTCATTCTCTTGCCTCAAACTCAGTCTGTAGCCACAAGAAAAATAGTTCTTAACTCTTATTTCCCAGATAAGAAAAAAAGCACACTGATGTCCATTTATTAACTTTGGGAGTGCTTATTTGACAACCACATCCTGGTCTAATAGTCTTGTTCTCCAGCCTCAAGTTTTAGTCACGTTTGCAGAGGTACATTATCTAAAAGTGTCTTATTAGGAACCTAAACACCTCGCATCTTTATTCTCACTCTAATCAATTAAGTCTCATACATAGAAACTTGGTCAGCTTTTGTAGCAGGTACGCCATTGCCAATATGGCTGTTGAATCTGGCTCTACTTATGGCAGTTACCGCAGTTGACCTCCCACACCCATGTTCTTTTTGTCAAAAGTAACTGGCTTCCTCAAGAAAAGTAAAATTTGACCGGCTCACAAGCTGGTTTCAGCTTCCGAACACAACAGAGCCTTCTTTTTCCAGATATATATTAGATTGCCAAGCTTGTATAGGATACCAATTGTGGTGTATAGCAAGCTTTCCCATCCACTTTCCTTATGTATCAGATGGTTTGTGCCCAAAAGTAAATGCTGGCCGCCATCCACTCCACTTCCCCTCCCACCCCCTTTCCCCTGGCTTCCCATTGCTAGGATTAATTATGTAACTCTACATTTAAAGCACTTTGCTGCCCCATAAATTCACAAGCTGAACTGGTACTTCAAAATAACAAGTTGCCTGATAAAATCTTCTAGTTGTCTGAAATCATAAGCAGTTTGCATTTGAGTTTTAGACACAGCTACCACACATGGGGTCAGAAATACTATCTTGCTGAAAATATTTGTGACTTGTAGGATGACATATCAGTCATTGGATGTCTGTTTACAACTCCATTGACTTCATTGGGAGCTCCCAGGGAATACATCCGAATTTAGCCCTAAATAAACTTCCATTCTAGGCAGTACTAAGTCAGAAAATTTTAATGTTAAACTGCTACTGTAGAACTACAGTAACTAATGTTTTAAGCAAGGTGGGTAGTGCAAAGGCTGCAATGTCACTTTGACTGTCCTAAAGTTGCACATAATACTCATTGTGAGAAAGGGGAGATGCTTACCTTTAACTAAAAAAAACAAAAAAACAAACGGAGCCAGGCAAAATAGAATGTCTAACTGTGTATAGCAAATATCATCATTCTCCTCCACAAACTTTCCTTGCAGAAACAGAAGGATCAGATGAGGAAGATAAAGAAAATGACAAAACTGAAGATGATAAAGAAAATGACTCAACCATTGAAAATAAGGTGAGCTCTTTTGACTGAGGCTACGTCTTCACTACGGGGGGGGGGCTTGATTTCAGATACGCACATTCAGCTACGCGAATAGCGTAGCTGAATTCGACGTATCGCAGCCGACTTACCCCACTGTAGGGACGGCGGCAAAATCGACCTCTGCGGCTTCCCGTCGACGGCGCTTACTCCCACCTTCGCTGGTGGAGTAAGAGCATCGATTCGGGGATCGATGGGACGCGATAAATCGATCCCCGAGAGGTCGATTTCTACCCGCCGATTCAGGCAGGTAGTGTAGACCTAGCCTTAGATTGATGTTGTGTTCTTCCACATTAACTGAGAACTAATGCTTATGGCTGAATGGCATTGGTTAGATCCAGGCACAGAAGTGTTCTATTCCTGACCTCGGGTCCTCGTCATTGTCTGGTAATCCTGACACCTTTGCAGACACTTCACAGTGAAAATATTACGATTGGCATATTTCTAGTAGTCTTGGGATCAAACTATTGTCACTTGTGAACTAATGCCCCCAAGGTGATGGTATTACACTTGTCCTACTTTGCCTTCTGGGTCCTTGCCTGACTAATACATTTGCGAAGTGGTGGTTGTGCTGTTACACATTTTCTCTGGACCAATAACTGCACTCTGGCAGCCAGTGCAGATATAGATTGTACCAGACTGCAGTAGTCTCACAATGACCATACTTCAGCATCACCACTTGTAACACCCATCTGATTCTCCACTAATCTATTAAAAGATTATATCCCCCTCTTTACTTCCACGCCTCAATGATTTGGGGTAAGGTGGATTTGACAGGGTTGGGAAGGAAGAAAGTAGTTCTGGCCACTCATGGATGAGCCTCTGTGGGGCAGTTGCAGCCAGTCAGCACAAGGATATGCATAATCACTAGTTCAGGGGGACTGTGTGGCTCTCCTGCGTATCAGTGCAGGAATTGCATCATTTGAATTTTAACTATGGTGCTGTAGCAATTCAGCACACCTATGCCCTGATTTAAAGGACTTGCTTAACATGGGGTTTCTCAACCCATGGGTTGAAACGCAAAAATTGGGTCACCAGAATGTGTCCGTGTCACAGAACTGGCTGGGCTCAGCTCTCCACATTAGGTGTTGTGGTCTGGTGCACTGGGTTCCAGCATCACTCAAGTTTGGCCTCTCTGTCACAGTGACCAGGTTGGACCAAACCTGAGCAAAGTTGTGACTGCCTAGAGTAGGGAGCAGAGCCCAATCAGTCCCACAGGACACAAGTTGAGAGGGAATGGTTGGTGTCATGTTCACCAGTAATGCCGTCTGCCCATGGGGGTGTGTATGTGTGCCCCTTTTTTTGGAGAGTTATTGACTCACCACACCTCTGCCCTCCAGTTCCTTCTCCAGACTCCCTAACTCCTTCACTGAACCCCTAGGCCCCCTGATCTCTGCCCCTCATGGGCCATGGGGGAGCTATGTTTTGGCAGAGATGTCTTAGCTTGCTTTACCTGTTGGTGGGGGTTTTTGCCAGTTCGCATCTGACCAGAGCATCTGGAATTTTAGCACTGAGCCCCCCTGCCAGATGGACCCTTGTCGGGAGATGGGCCCAGTGTGTAGAGTCTGGGGGCATCTTAGGGTGTGGTAGTGGTGTCTCTGGGTTGTGACAGGTCATCAGGGTTGACAAATGGGTCCTGACCCAAAAAGGTTGAGATCATCTGGTTTAACATACACCATATTTTAGCAGGCCACTACACAACTGCTTTAAATAGAATTTCTTTACCCGGTTGTGTTGGTATTGCCATTTGCGTCTAATGGATTACCTTGCTTTTACAACCTTATTGGGGTTTCGCTTTAGCTCCTTTATCTTCTAATTCCTGGTCCTCTTACTTAGTAGCATCTTAAAATTAAACAGAGTTCCAAGGTAATGTTTGCAGAGGTTTTCAGTAGTATTCAAATGACTGTAAATAAACTGGAGATGTAGTCTTAAACAGAAACTGAAATCAAGAACTCGTATCTTGAGTCTCAACTAACCTGAAAATAGACAACTGCATCAGCTTGGGACAGTCTGTAGCTGCAGTGACAAACGAAACAACTTACTATGGCTTTAAACCTTAAATTCCTGATGAGCACCTTTGCTACATTGTTGCACATTGCTTCACTGAGACACGTCTTCGTTTTTAAAATAAAATTAGAATATAATTCTAGTCTTTTCAGGAAAGTGAAGAGGATGAAGTTGGAAATCTGGAGCTGGCCTGGGATATGCTGGAGTTGGCAAAAGTAATCTATAAAAGGTAAAACTTTACACATCTTGATCTGAGTCTGTTTAAAATAAATAAATAAATAAAGGAACTTACAGGAAACCACTGGGGAATTGGCATAATAGAGGTACATGAGATAAAGAGGTAGAAGCCTCTGATCAGGGTTTTTATAGCAAACTAACCAAAGTTTTCTTGATTTAGACAGGAAACAAAAGAAGCTCAGCTCCACGCTGCTCAGGCTCACCTGAAACTAGGAGAAGTTAGCGTTGAATCCGGTAAACTGTCTGTCTGAAATCTGATTGTACTGAAGTGCTGCAGTGTTAAACTGGCTTAACTTCTTGCTAACTTTCACCCCATCTCACCCACCACATACACCTCTACCCCGATATAACACGAATTCAGATATAACGTGGTAAAGCAGCACTCTGGGGGGACGGGGCTGCGCACACCAGCAGATCAAAGCAAGTTCGATATAACACGGTTTCACCTATAATGCAGTAAGATTTTTTTTGGCTCCCAAGGACAGCGTTATGTCAGGGTAGAGGTGTACTTATTTAAAACGGTCAGAGGTGATTCAGATTGCTGGAGACATCAGATAAACTTCAGACCACATGGGGGAGGTGCCCACAAGTTTGAATAGTCTTGGGACAGATCAGGGAATAAGCCAGTTACCTGCCAACTGAATTCTTGAGCAAAGTGGGGGAAGGCCATGTTGAGATTCAATTTGCTTTCATTTCTGGAATAGAAATAGCAGTGGCTTGGAAATAGGCTTGTACACAATAGCCACTCTTGAATGTGGCTCCAGCAACTCTAGGATATGGAGAACTTTTTCACCTTCAGTAGTAGGCCAGAAGCCAAACACACCAAACCGCTGTCAGAATGAGATGGAAAAATACAAATTGAGAACGTGTTGGGTTCTAAAAATGGGCAGACTCCCCAAAACACTCAAGTTGGCTTCTTGGTGGTGGTGAATGCAATTGCTTAATCCTGAGACTTTTGCGTCAGCTTGAAGTCTGCCTCTCCCCTTGAAACACTGTAGTTCTTTATCATCTTTGCCCCTGTTTTCTGTTTGGCTAGAAAGTGGTTTCAGACTGAATTCATCTGGGAAGGTTCTGTGGGTTAGGACTGCAAAACTAGGGTTGTGTGTATGCCACCTCAGTAATATCAATGGGGGAATTGCAGTTTGAGGGTGGAATTATCCTTGAGCAGCTTTATTTCTTAATGTTAAAAGGTGCACTCTTGGCCAATAGTCTTATCAATGGTAGGTAAAATAATCAAAGTGATATAATTTAGAGTAAGCAACTGAACACACATACCTAGTCTGCTTTTGTCACACTTTCCCTGCTTCACCTGTATAGTCTTCTTCCCATGCTTGTGTAGGAAAGAGGAAACACTTCAAAAGTAACTGTCTAAATCACTGCTGAAATGTGGGGAGAGGGTTGGGCAGGGAAATGTAACACTATATGAAACTGACTAACTCAAGTTGAGTGTCCCTTTAATTATTAGCATCCCTCAGTGAGGCAAGGGCTTTCAGTTCATACAGAATCTAAGAGCAGTCTATGGAATAAATTAGATGGGGAGACAGTCTGGTAACTTTCTTTGTTTGGCTTGATACTTATTAGTTGCATTTGTAAATGGTTTATGGCTTTTCTGTTGTAGAAAACTATGCACAAGCTATAGAAGAGTTTCAGGCATGCCTTGCCTTACAGCAGAAGTACCTAGAGGCCCATGACCGCCTGCTAGCAGAGTCACACTACCAGCTGGCACTGGCATATCACTACAACAGCCAGTTTGATGAAGCAATTCTGCAGTTCAGTAAATCAGTAGAAGTCATTGACAAAAGAATGGGTAAGTAGACTTGCTACAACTCTAGCTAGCAAACTGGTTAACTGTCATAGGAAAGCTGGATTGAGCTGAGGTTAGTAACATGGAAGCACACTACTCTCCACAGTTCTCTGAATGGTCTCTAATGAAGGCAGAGTAGCTCATGTGCCCTTGCCTGTTACATTGTTGATTTAATAAACTGCTGACAACTTAAACCTGTATTCCTCTAGTGATGCTGACTGAACGAATAAAGAAAGCAGAAGGAGGATCTACTGAAGATGAGAAGGAGATCGAAGAATTAAAGGGACTACTTCCTGAAATTAAGGAAAAGATAGAGGATTCAAAAGAGTCTCAAAAGAGTGCAAGAGTAGCTGAACTGGCTTTGAAAGCAACTCTGGTTAGCTTTTAGTTTAATTACTTTTCTAGTAAGTTGACATTAACTAATGGTATAGCTGAAGGAGAGCAGAAGAGCCCACAACAACAGGGTTGGCTCTACTGGTCTAGAATTAGTGATTGTCTGCAAATGACTTACCTTCCCATGACCAGAAGCTGTTAGATCACTCAGAATGAAATATGGCTCACTTCCCTTTGACTTTGAGGGGGGAAAAGCATTGGACTATCACATGTCATCACTTTGCTTTTCCCTCTTGATAAAGCTACCTCTTATTGGACAATCAGCTGGCTCTCAACAAAGGGGCTAGAGGAGACAGTGACATCACATGCCGGCTGTTTTGTTTAGCACTAAACTGTAAGGGCAATGCTCTTTGGCAAGGGTTTGGTTTTTTGGCCAGATGTCAGTAAACTAGAACAGCAGAGATTCCTGGGTACAAAGATACAGCCTAGTTTGAGATTCCTAAATTTGGTTTAAATCCGGTTCAGCATCCGGTGGTGGCATATATCCTGAATAGTTGTATAGTGTAGCCAGCCTTTCAGAAGCGCTTCTACATTGAGGACCTTTTTAGGATACCTCTTAGACTGAACTTAATTGTTCCCTTGCTTATCTAACTGATAGGCAACCTGTTTGCTCACTCACTGTGACATATTAATTTGTTGGGTTGGTATAAACTTCTACAAATTGGGTACTTGGTAAAAGAAACAAAATAACCAAAACTGAAGATTAAGTACTTCATAATTTTACAGTCAGAATTGATTTGGTTAATGCAGATATAATAAAACCCCACATCATAGAGAGAAACTAAACAAACCTATTAAACCATAACTTACTTTGTGGTACAGCAGGAACCATGGATCTGTAGTGTAAAGTCCCAGCATGCTGTGGGAGCTCAGATATACAACTGGAAGCCAGTACTTGGTTAATCGCTACGGTTTCTTTCATTTTAGGTTGGAGGAGCTACCTCCAGTTTTACACAGAGTGAAGAAAGCTGTTCTGTTTCCACAGTAAGTGAAACAAATCTGAGTTCAGACAGGCATTTACATACTACTAAATTGGAAGGTTTTAATGTTTGATGTCACTTACATTACAACCTCTATCTTGTAATAGATTCCAGTAAGAAAACCAGCTGATGGAGCATCCCAGTGTGTTACAGACATCTCTCATCTTGTCAGGAAAAAGGTGTGTCCAGATGTATAGCGATTTGGACAAACTACTCCAAAACTACCACTGGCTTGCACTGTGTATTGTTTGATTTCTTGGCTAAACAAAGCCTTTAACTATCACTGTTACACACAGAACAAATTCTAAAAAAGTAGGAATACTGCCTAAAACTCCTTTCCACTGGGAGCCAATCAGTCTGGGAGCCAATCAGTCTTCCTGGAGAGTAGCTTTTGATGGTTCCTTGTATGCTTTACAGCACTCCGCCTGATCCACACTAGTTTAACTTCAAAGCTGAATTGTGTGGGTCCTGAAGGCACTCTTTAAATCAGTGCTCTCCTGTGTTGAGGCCCTGCATGAAGGAGCAGGGCAGGCCATAGATATTATAAAGGCAAACCACCAGGCTGAGTTGGGTTCCCTTATTTCCAAGTGGAAATGGAGCATTGGAGTTTAATAATAAAGTAGCAAAGCCAGTCTAAATGTGTAGTATTCATACTACTAGTCAAATCTGACTTCTTGGAGTAATGAAATATGGGTAACCTTAAGGGAAACTAGTGTTTGGTTGTAGTGGTTTTTTTTAACACTGAAGTGTGTTCTCATTAGTATTTTTCCTAATCTAAAATAAATTTCACAGTACTTTTCATTTGCCTACTGTATGTACGGTTACAACACACCATGGCTGTCCACATTTTGTCACACCAGCATCTTTCAGTCCATCTCTTGGAGCAAGTTTGAAACATCTGCCATCAGCTCTGAAGCTTAGATCAGATGTCATGGGTACTAAAAACAGAAATTTAATCTAGAGCTAGGATGCTTTCCTGCCAGATTATAATTAAGGGTGGCAAAAATGTAGAATCTAGGCAAAGTAGTATCAGAATTCTTACTGTAACTGAACTTACACCAAAAGCTTGAACTGAATCCTGACTATTTGGTGTGACCCCTCGTAACTAGGAGTTGAGTAGTTAATGCACAATGACATCTAGACACTAATTTTCTTAAGTCTTAAATTTGTACATAGTGCAGACTAAACAATTTTGTCTTCAGAGGAAACCAGAGGAGGAGACTCAACAGGGAGACAATGAAGCTAAGAAATCTAAACCAGAACCGGCTGTCAATGGCGGTGGTGATGCTGCCCCCAGTGGAAATGAGGTTGCAGAAAAAATGGAAGAGGAGGTGGGCTGTTGAGTCAGGAGTCTGTGCCATGTCTATTTCCTTCTCTGTTCAGGCATACCTTTCATGCCTGGTATCTAATGCTTTATTGCCTGCTGGTTGTCTTCCTAAGACTCCTATATAAGGAGCTGGGGAATTTGCCCAGTTCAGCAAAGTGCATGTTACACACAAGATGTCTGGCCCTTAGTCATTTGGAAAGTAAACTGGCCCTGTGGCTTTGCCCACTTGGGAGACAGCAACTTGGAGTTCAGTGTATTAAATTACAGCTGAGCTAAAACATGATTCTTGTTTCTCCTAAAGCATTGGTGGGCAATGGAATAGAAGTCTGTTGTACTTAAAATCAAAGGGCACTTAAGCTATGAAACTGTCTACATCTATATTTTAGAGTAGTGCTTGGTTTCTGTAACTACTGGTGATGTGTAGGTAACCAATCAATGCAATTCTCCAAGCTACCAATACTTTCCCAGCTGGTGCATGAATTAACTGCTGTGGAACATGTAATACTGGCTCTTAACAAAATCCATTCCTCTCTTTCAGATGGAGAAGAGGCCACAGGTGGAAGCAGGGGCTGCAGTTGAAAGTACAGTATGATAAGTCTTCAATGTGGACCTCTCCTCTCAAGGAGAATGGTTTTGTATATAGTGTATTTTTTCACTTTGGCAACTTTTGTATGACTTCAATAAAGATTGTAAGCAAATGTTCAGATTTTTCCTCAATAGGGGTGAGCCATCGTCCTGCTACAAAGCACAATTACACTGGTACAGATGAACAAATTCTCATCTCTAGAGTGCTGTGAACAAAATGTCCCAAGGAGCTTGACCCCGCTACTTAGAGCCTGCAGTGAAGTAAATGGCATGTCATGGTTGTCTCGCTTGGCTGATCTAGAAAGTAAACTCTGTCGTCTTCCTGGACCACTAGATGTGATCTAGAATTAACAGCCGGGCCTGAAATGAGAAAACTGAGGCAATAATTCTGTTAAAGTGAGGCATTACAGACAAAACATAACTTTTTAAAAGGCACAGGATGCCTCTAGAGTTAGGTTCTTTGCTTTTCCTATCCCTGCTGGTAGTAAACATATTCCAATTCTTATGTTAGAAAATGGTGAATGGAAATGCAAGTTAAAATGTACAGAAACCCCATTCTAAAATGGTATTTTTATTATTTAAAGAAGCTTTAACTATGCATGATACTTAAGGTCTTTCCAATGTTTTTTTATATTAAACCAATTTATTAAACTAAACAAAAGCAGCATTAGCTGTAATTAGTGAATTGAGCTGATTCTGGTTAGGTCCTCTAACATCATTCTCTATCTAGTTTTTATTCATAGACTAAAAGGAGAAAACAAGTTTCCTGTCTGTCTTCTCTCCTCTCCTCACCCCCCCCCCCCCCCCCCCCACCCCCTTCCTCACCCCCCTGAATGAACTAACTAGTCCCTGAAACTATTCTCTCTGCACTTGCTGAAGAGGCTACTGCTGTCAAACTGGTTATTGCACTTCAACAATCTCTGGTTCCAGGAGCTACCACCAGTTCAGGGGTCTGACTTTCTTTACAACTTGGCAGCAAATGTGTAATATATTTTTAATCTAATGTTAGATCCTTAGTCCTGTTGTTAAATAGTAGTGGTGCACTTTGTGTCTTGTCCTCTTTGTGAAAGGCAACTAGATTGTAAACTCTTCATAGGAACTAAAAGTTGGGAAAGCCCTGGTGCAGATTGTGAGTAGGTGTGAAAAGAAGGGAGGCTGTCTCCATTCTGCAAGAGAATGTGATGTTACTAACTTAACTGTAGGTTTGGTTTTGTCAGTTAATAAAACCATAGGGTGAGAAGGACCACAAATGATGTAACTCTACCTCTAGTCTAACCCCCTGCCAAGATGGATATCCAGCATCTTGTTGAAAATCTCCACTCCTCCATTTTCCCCATAAGAATAATGTAAATGCAGGGGTTAGGTTTCAGGGAACTGTTTTTCACCAGACAAGACTCTATACACACACACTCTACATTTTAAACAAACAATTTAATACTGGTACACAGTGGTGATGATTGTGAAGCTTGGTTGAAGTGGAGGAGTCAGAGGGTGGGATATTTCCCTCACTGCTAAATGATGAACTAGCAGTTAGCTGAGCCCTCAAGGGTTAACTCTCTCACTCTGCAAAGCAGCAGGAATGGAGGGAGATGTGCACATTTCCCTTAAGTACACTGCCTTGTTAGTTAGATCAGCTTGCTGAGACTGCAGCTGCTACAAGCTCCTGCTGTCCTGAGTCCTGCTCTATGGAAGATGGGGTAAGCAGGATGCAGGGGGACACCTTGACATTAGCTCCCCCCAGCACAGCAAGCAGGAGTCTTGGGGAGCAGCACATGGCAGTGGGGGGAGAGACACAGCTGCTGCACAGGGAATTTAGGGGAGCGAGGAGCTGATAGGGGGCTGCTGGTCTACACTGGTTCCAAGCCCCCACCAGCTAGCTGCAACGGGCTGCCCTTCCTGCAAGCAGTAGACCAAGCAGGCAGCTACCAAACAACATTAGACGGGAGCATTGCAAAACTTTAAACAAGCATGTTCCCTAATCAGCAATGAAACAAGGTTAACCAGGGCAACTTTAAAGTAAGGAGTTACTGTATACCCCATCTACTGCTTTCCCCCACCCCATCCACAAAGCTTGTTACCCTGTCAAAGAAAGCTGTCAGAGTGGTTTGACAATTTGTTCTTGACAAATGCTGTTACTTATCACCTTATCTTTTAGATGTTTGCAAATTTGATTGCTTAATTATTTGCTCAATTATCTTTCCAGGTACAGAAGTTAAGCTGACTGGCCTGTAATTCCCTCGGTTGTCCTTATTTCCCTTTTTATAGATTGGCACTATATTTGCCCTTTTCCACTCACCTGGAATCTCTCCTGTCTTCCATGACTTTTCAAAGATAATTGCTAATAGCTCAGATCTCTCCTCAGTCAGCTCCTTGAGTATTCTAGGATGCATTTAATCAGACCCTGGTGATTTGACATTATCTAGCTTGTTCAAGTAATTTTTAACTTGTTCTTTTCCTATTTTACTGGTGTTCACTATGTTAGAGGTCCAATCACCACCAGCCTTGGTGAAAACCGAAACAAATAAGTCATTAAGTACCTCTGCCATTTCCACATATTCTGTTATATGTGCATTTGGTTTTTCTTGCCTAAGTGAAGCCCCTTACATTTGTCTTTGCTGAATGTCATTTTGTTGGCTATAGCCTCGTTCTCCAAATTTATCAAGATCCCTTTGAATTTTAGCTATATCCTCCCAATGGGTTGTAACCCCCCAACTCTGTCATCTGCAGTTGTAATCAGTATGGTCTCTATTACCATGTTCAGATCATTAATAATGTTACCACCACCAGACCCCCAACAGATTCACGTGGAACACCACTTCCGACCTCTTTCCAATCTGACATCATTCCATTAATAGTTACTTTGTGTTTGTTTAACCAATTATGTATCTATTTAATGTCGTTCTACCAAGCCTGCATTTCTCCAGCTTGCTTATGAGAATGTCAGGGGAGTGTGTCAAAAGCCTTGCTAAAGTCCAGGTATATTATGTCCACTGCCTTCCCCCATCCACCAAACCAATTAGATTGTCAAAGAAGGTTAATACAGTTAACATCACTTTCTTACCTCTTGCTGGGTGTCTGCCTTCTGCTGTGGCATCAGATCTGTAACTTTAGCACCACCGGGCTCCTCCTTGTAAAACTCTATGCCTTCCTTGGGGAGGTAGGACTGATTGATACCCTGAGGTTAAAATATGGAAGGCTAACACAGTGGGGAAACTTAAAAGAGAGCTTCAATTGTGCAGTGTTTTTGAACATTTTTGATAGCAGGGACCGGCTTGCTTTCTAAACGGTCAGGGAGATTTCATGCACCAGCACTGCTCCAGTGACCGGTTGTTTAGAAACACTGCTTGGGTACATGTAAAACAATGTCTTACTGAGGTAGTGAGGAGGTGCATATAATCTTGTTAATCTAAGAGTCCCAAACATTCAGTGGTGCTGGATCTCAAAAGGTAGTGTCTTGGAAATTAAGGTTCAGTGTTTACTTCTAGACCAGGTAACTAGAAAACTCTAGCTGGACAGATGTGTATGTATACAACCTCATTAAATTATTTAAATAGGAATACAGGAAGGTATTCCCTCTCCTCATAAGCCTAGTCCCTTTACATGAAGTCTGACTTTTTTTTCTTGCTATTGTCAATAAACCCTGCTGATGGTGGCTAGTCAAGTTAAGTACCAAGCATAATACAGCAAGAAATTCTTCCAATTTACGCTTTAATTTCACCCTCTATTTAGCGACACACACACACACACCCCCCAACGTCCTCTACCTCCCTATTGCTGATTGAAGGAGAGAAGGGATAATCAGACCTCAAGTCATTTTTAAGGTCATAGTGTGTGACAGTAAAACATGGGTGTTCAGGCTCCCAGGTTATATGCTCTTTAACCACAGTCCTCTTTCCCTCCTTTAGGTGAAAGTAGAGGTAATTACGACACATCCTGTAATGTTCGAAGCATAAACAAGCTTGTGGAAGTTCCCTTCAGTTTATTTTTTTCACTCTGCTATTGACACTCCCTATAGAGGTCTTGTAATAACCGGTACTTCCGGCTTTTGTAGCAAGTATCTTCCATTGCAGTCAGATATTCTGAAGTAGTGGGGTCTATTCCTTCATGTGCATGCCACTGCCATTAGTAGGGGTGAGTTGTGGCTGGCTGCTTAGAATCTGCATTGTGAATAACTTGGGTACTAGTGTGTGAACGCACCTGTGCTCCCTCTTCAAGAAAATCCACAGCTAATCTCCCCCCCCCCCCCCCCCCCCCCCCCATCAGTGTTCCCATGCTGGTGCGGATTCTCCACGCACCTCTCTTCTTGCAAGTACTGAGCAATGCTACTGGGCAGTGACGTGTTGTTAGCAATTCTGTTCTTTAGCTAAGCCCTAAAATGGGTTTCTTGACCACCATGGCACATACTCCCCAAAGCGGTGGCATGCTGGTTTCCTGGACAAATTTCTACACAAGTAGGGTCTGCCTCCTTATGTTCATTGGTAGCATCAAAGGTGAGGAAACCGTATGACCAAGTGCCAATTCAGTTCAAAGGAGGACACCTGCACCCCTCTAACAACACCTACGCATCATAATGCTCACCTGTTTGGAGGGCAGGCTAAGCTCTTCATCCCGCCTACCATCTGCTAGACGGACAACCACAGATGCCCCTCTCACCAGCTGAATCTGTGAGATGGAGAACACTGGTGAGCCTGGTGTTTGGGGAGAACTGAACAGCACCCACAATTGGAGTCAGATTTTAAAAACCCTTGGCTCCTAGCTGATCTCACTGTGACACTGACCAGGGGAATGACTTGGCCGGGTTATGGATTCCGCCAAAATCTACTCTTTGCACGCCTGATAGTTGCACTGTGTTGGCCTGGACAGGCACAGTGACTCTGTGCCAAAGTGAACGCACCTGGGGAGATCCATTTTAACTTGCTAAAGGAGGTTACTACCCTGGTGCAAAGTAGGTATAAAATGTCACTCAATCAGCATTCTCTAGGCAGCCCACAGACAGCACTGTGCACAGCTGTGAATGAGATGAAGTGAAAGGCAGTGGAGTGCTCCATCAAAGCTCTGGCATGTGAGTGACGCGGGGCTCGGCTGTATATTATGCAGG